TTTTTTGATTTATTGTAGAGATGAGGTCTCGCCAAGTTGTCCAGGTGGGTCTCGAACCCACGGGCTCAGGCAGTCTACTCACCTCAGCCTCCCAAAGCGCAGGATTACAGGCTGAGCCACCGAGCCCGGCTTATATACATATATTTTAATAGCCACATAGGAAAAGCCACCATGCCTGGCCTTGTGAGATTTTCCTTTTTTTTTTTTTTGAGTCTGAGTCTCACTCTGTCGCCCAGGCTGGAGTACAGTGACACGCTTATAGCTCCCGCAGCCTCGACCTGCTGGGCTCAGGTGATCCTTCCACCTCAGCCTTCCAAGTAGCTGGAGCTACAGGTGTGCGCCACCACGCCTGGCTAATTTTTTGATTTATTGTAGAGATGAGGTCTCGTCTCGAACCCATGAGCTCAGGCAGTCCTCTCACTTTGGCCTCCTAAAGTACTGGAATTATAGGCGTGAGCCACTGTGTCCGGCCATTTTTTTTTTCTTTTTTTTGCTTGTGAGATTTTTAATGAAACATTAAGTCCAAACACAAATACAGATTGAGTGTTCCATATCTGAAATGTTTGGGACCAGAAGTGTTTTAGATTTGGAATTTTTACAGATTTTGGGATATTTGCATTATACTTACAGGTTGAGTACCCTAATCCAAATATTTGAAACTCAAAATGCTCTAATGAGCCTTTCCTTTGAATGTCATGTGGGCACTCAAAAAATCTTGGAGTTTGGAGATTTTTTATTTTTGTATTAGGCATACTCAACCTGTATTCTATCTGGGAGGAAACATAATGGCATCACTCTAAGTAATAAATAGTTCCCACATCATTTTGAGTTCCCTAAATCATCTAACTTTTCTTTCCCAGTTCTAAAAGTCTCCCAGGCAAGTCATTTTACAACCAGTATCCATGATTCAGAATTTTCATTAAGAAAGTTAAGTCCAAGCCAGGCTCGGTGGCTCAGCCTGTAATCCCGCGCCTTTGGGAGGCTGAGGTGAGTGGATTGCCTGAGCCCGCGGGTTCGAGACCCGCCTGGGCAACTTGGCGAGACCTCATCTCTACAATAAATCAAAAATTAGCCGGGCGTGGTAGCGCACACCTGTAGTTCCAGCTACTTGGAAGGCTAAGACGGAAGGATCGCCGGAACCCCCAGCAGGTCAAGGCTGCCATGGCCGGGAGTGGCCACTGCACTCCAGTTTGGACGACAGAGTGAGACTCCAGCTCAAAAAAAAGAAAGAAAATTAAGTCTGGCTGGGCATCATGGCTCAAGCCTGTAATCCTAGCACTTGGGGGGGCTGAGATGAGAGAATTGCCTGAGGCTGTGGGTTTGAGACCAGCCTGGATAATGTGGTGAGACTTCATCTCTACAATAAATGAAACAATTAGCTGGGCGAGGTAACACACTCTTGTAGTTCCAGCTACTTGAAAGACTGAGGCAGAAGGATCTCCTGAGCACAGCAGGTTGAGGCTGGGGTGGCTGTGAGCGTGCTACTGCACTCCAGTATGGGTGACAGAGTGAGACTCCGACTCAAAAAAAACACTGATTTATTGTAGAGATGAGGTCTCGCTGCCCAGGCGGGTCTCGAACCCACAGGCTCAGGCGATCCACTCACCTCAGCCTCCCAAAGGCGCGGGTTTATAGGCTGAGCCACCGAGCCCGGCTAATAATTTTTTAATATATTGCAGTCATCTAAGTCATAGCCTCCCCTTCTTTTCTCACTAGATTCCCAATTACTGTCCAGTTTCCTATTGAGCTTTTTTCATTTTTACTATTTTTAGACTTAAAATAACATTTATCTACAAATGATTTTTTTTTTTTTGAGTTGGAGTCTCATTCTGTCGCCCAGACTGGAGTGCAGTGGCCACTCCCGGCCACCGCAGCCTTGACCTACTGGTCTCCGGCGATCCTTCCACCTCAGCCTTCCAAGTAGTTGGAACTACAGTTGCGTGCTGCCACGCCCGGCTGATTTTTGATTTATTGTAGAGATGAGGTCTCGCCAAGTTGCCCAGGTAGGTCTCGAACCGGCGGGCTCAGGCAATCCACTCACCTCAATCTCCAAAAGCACTGGGATTATAGGCTGAGCCACCGAGCCCAGCTTACAAATAATTTTTTAAAAAAATTTTTCCTGTGGATCCTTTCTAAACTCTACATCTCTCAAGATGTCAAGCCAGAGTGTGGATTGCGGAATAATAGCATGACTTCCACTCATCAGAATTGATGGCCTTAGAGTTCTTCAATGCCCTTTCCTGTATTTTGCTCTTTCTTTTTTTTTTTTGAGTTGATGCTACACTGATCTGTGTTTTCTTCATAAGGACCTTGCTAAGAAGTACTCTGACAAGCTAGAGTGCTGTGAAAACGAAGTAGAAAAGTTAATAGAAGAAATACGTTGCAAAGCAATTGAGCGTGGAACAGGAAATGAAAATTACAAAACAACAGGAATTGCAACAATTGAGGTGTTTTTACCAAGACTAAGAAAAGTGAGTAATTTACCCAATTTGCATAGGTACTAATGTGTAGTTAGTGGTGTGATCAAATAAATAGTTTTTTTGTAAACCTCAAATCCAAAGTTAAAATTCTTTAAAGTTACTTTATATGTCAAATATTTATCAACTTTAAAGTTAATGTTATGGATTCTTAAATTGGAGCATTCCCAAGTTAGGCTAGTTTCTCTTGGACCTTTAGAACTTCACCTAGCTGTGTGTCACATTCTAACCCTTTTAGAGTCGAATGTTTAGACATAATGGGGGATAGAAGAGGATTTCAGGTTTCTAGACCCTTGCGAAGTAGAACATATCACAATAAATTCATCCTTTTCCTAGTCTGGTGGAGGCCTGAGGGCAGTCTGCTGAGAGCTCAGGCAGGACCAAAATGACCTGGGAGGGACTACCTCAACCCATTGCCAAGCCTCAGTAGTTCACATCTAGAAATGCTGCAAGCAGGGCACCCAGAGGTGGCTGGCCTCAGGACTGATTAGTGTTAATTATTCTTAGAGGAAATAAATGCATATATGAGAAAAGTTCCCAAATACTCATAGCAGCATTATTCACAATAGTCAAAAGGTGGATGTAGCTCAAGTATCCATCGATGGATGAATGGGTAAAGAAATGTGGTACACCCATGCAACGGAAAACTATTCAGCAATAAAAAAGGAATGATGTACTGATACATCTACAACTTGAATGAATCTCAAAAACATTATGCTGAATGAAAGAAGCCAGACACAAAAGACCATATACTGTATGATCTCATTTATATGAAATGTCCGGGATTGGCAAATCTGTAGACAGAAAATAGATTAGTAGTTCCCCAGCGCTGAGGGGAAAAGGGAGGGAACAGAGAGTGCAGGAGATAGTATTTATTTGAGGGATGGTGCAAATGTTCTGAAATTTGATTATAAAGATGGCCAGCCCCATGGCAAACCCTTCTGTGCAGCCCTACCTAGTAGTGCTACACTACTACCCCCTTGAGGACGCTGTGGTCACAGAGTCAGCCTGTGCCAGGTTATCTTTAACGGGCTTCTCTTTTTGACAAGGCCGCCTTTAGTGCTAATCAGTGACCTAAGTTTACAGCCTCTGGTACCAGCTTATCTGATTTCGTACAGGGCAATAGCTCCAAAAAGTATTAAATTCAAGTATGTTTTATTTTCTTATTTTTAAATAGGATAGGAAAAACTTGTTGGAGACTCGATTGCACATCAGTGGCAGAGAACTGAGGTCTAAGTAAGTATCTGTGTGCTCTGTGTCCCAGGTGTTCCGTGCTTTTTTTTTTTTTTTTTTTTTTT